TAAATTGAACGTTATTTGTTATACTTAGACTAGCTCAAAAATAGTTTTAAAACATTGTTTTTGTGCTTAGCTGTCACAGTTGTTTACATTTTTTAACCTCCTGACGTATTAACCCCCAAAACACCCACACACTTCTAAAACACCTCCCTTAGAATATTTTCTTCAGCAGTTGCGTAGGCAGGGAGCAGAGACAGACGGGATGTGTCAGGGAAGATTAGAGCCCCTCCCCCATGACAGAATCTTGTCTCCAGCTACACTTCAGCAGTTTTTGTACAATACGATGCATGTGGTGTTTTTTTTTCATTAACATATAACACTGATCATAAAAAGAAAAAAAAGTGGTATCTGAAAACCACATAACACCGTTGGTTGTACAGAAATACAAACGTGGATTCCTTATAATATATCAACCAGTAATGAGTCATCAATAAGTGACGTCATAAGTCGTGTAGTTTTTCTTCTATCATTTCTACCCCCCCCCCCATCGTCAATTGTTGGTACGTCATAACGTCATCTATGGAGTCTCCGCCCCAAACTCCCCATTAAAATATATTTTAAATTTTTTTGCCTTGATTTACAGTAATTTACACTAATGTTCTTTAGCCAGCCCGTGGGGGAGGGGGTGATTTTTAAGTCTGTTTCCTTCGTAATTAATATGTTGTCTTCTACACTGAAACATGTTCATCTTTGTTCCGTTAATTAAATTTAATTAAGCTCGTCATTGGTGCACCGATTAATCCTGCATACTATAACAGCTCTGGGTTAAATTTTACAGCTACAAGACAGAGCTCTAGCTGCTAGACACGCCTCCAGCTCCTAGACACGGTTCCGGCTGTTAGACACTGCTTCACCTGTTAGACACGGCCCCGGCTGCTAGACAAGGCTCCAGCTCAGTGGCGTAGCTACCGTAAGCTAGCGTAAGCAAGGCATAGGGACCCAAGGCAAATAGGGGCCCTTTTTCGAATGTTTGAGGGGGGGGGTGCAAATCGAAAGTCTGAGGGGGTGCAAATCGAAAGTTTGTTTTGTCCCCGGTTGCCGGGAAGGGTCGCTACGCCTCTGAGGGGCCCACTAACACTTTTTGCATAGGGGCCCAAAAATCCTAATTACGCCACTGCTCCAGCTTCTAGACACGGCTCCGGCTGCTAGATACGGCTCCAGCTCCTAGACACGGCTCCAGCTCCTAGACACGGCTCCATCTGGTTTAAGAGAGAATTCGTCAAAGAGATTATTCCACATTTTATGTCAACAAAGTCCTACATCAGCATTGAATAATCTGTGTTAGTTTAATGTACTATTTCATCTAATGACAAACACATGAATGTGGGTTTTTGGAGCGCTCATAGCATAGAAAATGGCGTCACGTGAGGTCTATATATAGCTCATGTATTGATCACAGATAGTACTCACTGGTTTTCTCGATAAGTTTTTAAAACAATTTAATATCGTAGATGATGCAATTCACAATTCACATGTTTAAAGTTCTTGTAGTGCTAGACACGACAGAATATTGATACACATATTTTTTCCTTACTAGTAAAATATTGGCAAATACAAAGTTTGTGAAATCCTTTACAAAATTAGCTGTTCAACGGGTTTACTGAATGAATTAATATAATATAAATAAATAGATTATATATGTCTACATATTTAGACCTATATTTGTGTAATATAGAATATTTTATGGCAGAGAGAGAAATAACACCACGCCATACTCACTCGTGAGTTTGTGACATTTTTAAAGAGGAAATGGGGGTCTGTTTTTGTGACGTGTAAAGAAAGGCCCATTAGGTGATATGAGTAATTGGTTAAAGTAGCCAATAATTAGATAATATAATGATTAACAAAAGAAATAACATAACTAAATAAATGTGGTAGATTTCGACCACTTGACCAATTGTTTCTCTAAGAACTCAAATCCAACTTTTTACTTCTCTCCCTCCCTGAATGTCGAAATACTAGACTAGGTCTATTTAAAAATAAGTATGACATTTTCTCCATGTTATTTTTCTCGCCTTTTATTTCTAAGATGTGCTATTTACTTGACTCTAATGCCAAGGTTTCCTTTTTCTTAAGTCTTGTAACTTCCATTCTTGATGTCATAATTCTTGATTGTTCTAGAATTTACATTTCTTCATTCACGATATTTCTGAACACGTCATGTACCTTCACTTTTTTTTCTGCAGTTTGTTATTGGTGTAGTCTATTCGTACTTCAGAAAAGCAGATTTTTTTTGTAACTCTAGATCGATATTTCTTCATAATCCTCTCTCCGACACCATGCTCTTTAAATTAGCAACTAAAAAACCTTTTATTTTAGAAGTGTGTTATTTTAGTTGGATTAGTGTTACAATTTTAGCGATATGGATTTCTATTTATTTTTAAAGTTTGTAATAATCAAGCACTAAGTATAATCCACTTTTTAAAAATATGGATACATTTCCATTTCACGGTCTTGTGCGAGTTCTTATCTTAAGTATAAAAATCGTTATCTGTTCTATAAGCAAGGGGTGGGGATGGTGGGGAGGGTGGGGAGGGTGGTAGACGATTGATCCATTGAGGAACTCTGCTGTTCATCTCACACGATGATCAATGTCTCAAGTAAATCTAAACTCATGTGCACTGAGCGGTCGATAGGGGGATAGTCTACGCTAAATAAATACATGGTAGGTGGATAAGTGCTGGGTGCAGTGGAATAAACACTAGGTAGGTGGAGAAACATGGGGTAGTGTGGATAAAACATGGGGTAGTGTGGATTAACACTAAGTAGGATGGATAAATATGGGGTAGTATGGATTAACACTAAGTAGGATGGATAAATACGAGGTAGTGTGGATAAACACTAGTTAGGGAGGGTACACATTAGGTGTGTTGGATAAATATAGGGTTGTGGGCAAACTATAGGTAGGATGGATAAAATAAGGTAAGGTGGATAAACACTAGATAACTGTATTAAGATTAGTGGGTAGTGTGGATACACAGAGGGAAATGAGATTAACATGGGATTTGTGTGGGAAAAAACAAGACTGGGTGGATAAACACATTTCAAGATGCGTCAACCTTGAGCAGATGAACAATCGATAAACACAAGAAGTAGTTGGTAAACACACGTGTTGGATAAACACATCGATTGATTGATAAACAAATTATTGATGAATACATTGATTAATTGATTAATACGTCGATTACTGGATAAACACACCGATTAATTTATAAACACAAGGATTGATTGATAAATACATTAAATGGGTAACATATTGATTGATTTATAAACACATTGATAAATTGATAAACACGGTGATTTATTAAAGAATACATTTAATGGATTGATGTTCACTTAAACGACTGAATAACACATTAGATAGTAATTGAAGCAAAACACATGGGAAAGGATTAGTTGAATGATCAAAACATTAAATTTATGAAAACAATCAATTTAATTTACGCCTGATTGCCTACACGCAGAAGAGGGTAACACGGTATGCTACAGGTATCACCATCTTCCCACAGGATCAGTTCACGTTAATGTCATTATTTTATATACACGAGAAAGATAGTTCTAAAACACAGCTCATTATGCATTTATTTTTGGGGTTTTCTCAGCAGAAAACACAACAAAGAAACGTAGATGTTTACTAATTGACAGGCTAAGATATATGTGAGCCTACACTTCATTTTGAAATGTTTCTAAATAATTAACAATAGAAGGAAATGTTAAAATATATTTAATAGTTTCCCATAAATTGTGTTTTTATTTAACTATACGCATATTCCACTTACCTATATAAAGTATCCCATTGTTTTTTTTAATTGTCCAATTATTTCCATTTTTTTCATCATCAACATCGTCATTCCTGTAGACCCTTTGTGGAACATCCAAGGGACGCAACCACATTTCTCGATTCCAACTTAAGTTGAGTCCAGGACATTTCGGTAGCTTCTACTTCACTGACAACTGATCTTTTCCACATTTCTTTTGCATCTTTGTATTTAACGCGGTTCTTCTGGCGCTCTTTTTGTATTTTATTTTTTTACTTCGTCCTTAGAAGCAATTTTTCTTGCGCTTTTCGACAAATGACTTACCAGTTTGTTTCAAACTTCACAAAGAGACCAATACCCGATGACAATCCAATGTGGTATACAATTTGACATAAAATTATCTTTTAACAAACTTTAGTTAAACATTGCTTTATAGAAGTACTAACTATATATATATATATATATATATATATATATATATATATATATATATATATATATATATATATATATATATATATATATAGTGGCCTATATGTATTTGTTATCTATATACGTATGTATAGTCCATAGTAGCCTCCATACAGGCCTACATATAGTTATATCGATAACTATACATGTATGCAGTGTTTCTTCCTTTCTTCCAGACTTTTTTCTCCGGAGGGGGGGGGGGGGGGTGAACGGACTTGAAATTTTCGGGGGGGGGGGGAGACACTGTTAAAAGTATATATTTTCTATATAAATTATATAAATTTCATTTCGTTCGAAAAGATGCCTGGAAGAAACTCTGCATGTATGATGTATGTATGTGTTCTTTCCAATAGTGATGACGAATAGTTTGATCGAAGTTCAAGAAGGAATTAGTTACATTGTTGCTGATGTTGTTGTCTAGATGATACTGTTAATTTTATTATGAGGTTTGATGAATTTATAAATAATCATGTAATTTTATGCTTTCATTATTAGAAAGTTATTAAACTTTCTAAACTACGAATTCAAACAGGGCTCACTAGGCCGCTTTGGCACTAGATCTATAATTGTTTTAAAACAGTAAACGATATTAACCATTTAGTTATTTTATATACCAAAAGCACCATAATATATATGTGTACCATTATAAGCAAATATATCAACATTTTATAGAATAATAAAGTCTAGATAAAGGTTTATTAAATCTAAATTTACATAAACATATGTAGTATTTAATCGTTAAATTTTACCAAACCTGACTTTTTGAATGTAGTTTTTAACAACAATAATAGTTTGTCCTTGAGCAAGATGGCGACTAGCCGAGTAGTTCAGCAGGGAGTTAAACAGGTTAAACCTCTGCTTTCTGTTGATCGTACAGAAGCTAGAAGAAGAGTTTTGAATCTTTACAAAGCTTGGCATAGACAAATCCCATACACTGGTAAATATGAATTGAGCAGTAGAAATTTTTGGTTAGTTTGTATCCTAACCCTGATGTCCTGATTTGAGTAAGTTTGTTGTGTTGGACACCTGGGGCTGGACGTAGCTTTTAAATATGTTAGGCTAGGTAAAAAAAAAAGGCGTATCAGTTTAGATTGATGAAAAGCCTTTTACCCTGTCGTATTAGCTTCTAGGGATACTAGTTAAGTGTCTTAAAATTTTTTTAAAAATTTAAGGATGCATCTATTCGGACCCGGGTCCCAATAGCCACGGCCGCTATTGGGACCCGGGTCCTAATAGCCTCGGCCGCTATTGGGACCAGCCAATAGAATTGTTTAGATTTAGTTATACAAAAGTTCTTTTAAGATGCAGAATATTGCTTTTCTGTTGTGATTTTTTTCCTTGTAATTCTAAATGATATATTGTAGGTTAAATTATGGATTTTTTAAAATAAAATATTCTGTTATTTCAAATACACCATTAAGTTCCTTACCCCTTAAGAGAACATTTGACACCACATTTAAATATCTAGCTTATTCGGTTGACGAGAAAAGAGAGAATTTGAAAATTAATCAAAATTGAAAATGAATGACAAAACAGCGTTCTTGGCATAACATGACGTCGTCGACTTGTGTACACGAGCTTTTAATTCCCGCCATGGTAATTGCGTCAGCTTAGGTAATTTACTCACCGGAAAATAACAAAAAGCAACTGGTTGATAATAAAACTAGATCTAGTTATTTTATTATTTATTAAATTCTACTCTACATGTTATTCATACCATTTTATGAAGTAATGAACACCTGCATAAATCAAATGACCATAAAAAATATTTTTATTTCAAATTCTAATTTTAAATAATAAATAATAAATATGCTTAAAATAATATGATAGTAACAGTTATGATCGTTTATAAATACAAATACATTTTACACTCAATTCACATTATATTGAGTCAACAGTGTGGCAGCTGAGGTTCATACATGGTATTTTTTTTTTTTTTACATTACATTTTTTTTCATCTTGAAAACATGACGCATGTGATTTTTTTTTTTTAATCTCCAAACATCGTCACTCGCGTGATTGCTTGCTTACGTTTACTATCCTGTGGATGAAAAATCCCACCACGGTCGCGGGTCACCGTGAGTTCAGCAGGCCTATAGTACACGTCATAGCATGAACACGCGTACACGAGATGGTCGGTGTCTTCACTTCTCTCTCTCTTCCCCCCCCCCTCCCTCTAGCCAATTGAAAAACAGACCTACTTCCCTACTTCTGGTCATTTTTTTTAAATGTTCGGTCATTTTTTTTTTAAGTTCACATATCAGGCATGCAAGACAGCCAGCCAGTGGCGTAGCGAGGTCGGGTGTCACCCGGTGCGGCACTTAATGGTGTCAGCCCCCCCCCCCCCAAAGGCGTAGTATTCCCGGGGACAAACTTTCTTTCAAATTTTCGATTTGCACCCCCCCTCAAGTTTTCGATTTGCACCCCCACCCCCTCAAACTTTCGATTTGCACCCCCCCCCCTGCAGCCAGCTGTATTAAAAAATATTTTTTAAACTAGATCTACGTCTAGCTTAAAAAAATAAATAAACGCTTAAAATGCCCGTAAACAGATTATTTAGCGCCAAAAAAAAAAAGGCCGCTGAACGAGCATTTTTTAAAATACGCAGCAATGAAAAGGGCTAACGGCCGATCAATTAAGTCTAAAAAACGCCCGTAATTAGGCCTAGCTCTGAAAAAGGCCACTGAACGAGCATCACTAATTATATAAACGAATAGGCCACGCAGCGTTGACGAGGTTAACCACCGGTCACGAATTAAATTCAATGCAGCTACTGTCGGCCCACAGTGAAGAAAAAAATCAATATACTAATAAAATTACTAATACAAAAATAATTTCCATAATTTTACTTTTTCTGCACACGCTACAATTGAATTATAATTAAAATACTAGACTTAACAGTTCATTCCGCAAAAAACAAAAACGAGTTGTTTCTGTGAGGTAACTAGCGTAACAATGACGTCACGATAGTAAACAAAGCGGACAGAAATGTCTGCATGGGTACCTCATATGGAAATTCGATATAAAAAAGGCGAATCAACATAACTGTAATTACTCATTATAAATATCTCAATTATATATTTCTGCATTTGTACCAGGGGGTTTCGACCATGTACTGGGCCGTTTAAGGCGGCAGTTCAGTTTTTCCCAAGAGTACTTGACAAGAATAGCGTGTATTAATTAAAACCACATATCTGGCGATTTTTTCGGTTATTTTCAGGCATGGCGTCCATTTATTTAGCATATCGCATTAAAATAATGATGAGAATTTGCGATATTAGCAGTTTTTTCATTTGTCGTGGATAGGACCCCTAAAATAAACGTAAAAACCGTCAAAAAACGACGCGTGACGTTTCAGGGTCAGAGGTCAATCCAGCCATATAAGCAACTATCCGGCCTAATATATTGAATTATATTGAGATATTGCTTTAAATACCCGATATCATTACTGACAAATGTTATGATGAGCGGGTGTCGTTAGATCTATAATATAATTATGGCATATGGTTTGAACTTCTATGGCCGAGCGAATGTTGAGCGCACATGTTAAATTGTGTTTTATTTTTTTTTTCTGTTAAACGTAATTTGATTTCATATATATATATATATATATATATATATATATATATATATATATATATAATTGTATAAAAAAGCTCTATAGGCTGCAGACAACAGCTCCCGGGTCCGTTTTCTTGAACACGAATATCTCGCATGCGTAGTAGTACGCTTTAATAGAATCAATATGTAACATTTGAACTCTTAATGACCCCAAATCCGTTTTTCCGTTTTGCTGGGTTGGGAGGGGAGGGGGGGGGGACTACGGCGACAACAAATCTCGTCAAGGTCATAGCAATGGTCTTGCTATGATGTAAGCTATACGCCTACACTGTTCACATCTAAACCAAAGCGAACTCACAGTGACCCTGGCTACACCGTGGGGGCCATCCATAAATGACGTCACGCTTTTTTGACGATTTTTACCTCCCCCCATCCGTCACAAAAAGTCAGACCCCCCCCCCCCCTAACATGACGTCACACCTCAACCTACAACCCCCCCTCAAAATTGCAGTTGAATTTTTTTAAAACATCGATATTTTTCCAAAATCTTGTCTAAACTATTACAATTTATTAAAACAGTTATAAAAACGCGAAATAACGTCTAAAATTAGTTTTCTAACATTGCTTTTTTATAATTCAAAAATGTGACGTCGCAACATCTGAACCCCCCCCCCCCTCCCCCTCATCACACATCATCACAAAATTACGGACCCCCCTCCCCTCCCCCTACGAGTGTGACGTCATTTATGAATGACCCCGTGTCGGTATTTTTCTTGCGCTGACCAGAAAACGCGAGCGGGCGATCAATGGAGCAACGATGTTTTTATAATTGGCGTGTTTAAAAACCTAAATCTAGAAAAAAAATATAATCTAAAAAAAAAACAATTTTAAAAACACTCATGCAAACAACTCAATGAAATGTTAAACTTAGATAAATACACTTTACTTCTCGCAAAAACGAAAACTTCGATAGGTTCCGATCCCGTAACTAATAGCGAATCGGGAGGAGCTGCGTTCTCCACTCGACCACCACGTCTTACGATAATTTATGAATATTTAATGATTTTGTATATAGAGCTAAATATAGGGTATTTAGAAATAGCAATGCAAGAACTAAAGCTAGCTAATCTGCATAACTAATTACAATAAAAGACAACAAAATACGAACAAATCCACAAGAAAAATAAAATAAACATAAAAGGTATAATTTTAATACAGGTTGTACAAGTGCTTAACGAACTTAATGCCGGGTCCCAATAGCGGCCGAGGCTATTAGGACCCGGGTTCCAATAGCGGCCGAGGCTATTGGGACCCAGGTCCTAATAGCCACTTCCAAAATTTAAAGGCTGCCTTTTCACTTTTCAATGTTTTTAAAAGTAGCCTACAACTACAGAGCTAGACTAGATCTAATTTTCTTGAATTTGTTCACTTGGTTGATTGTAGAGTGCGATCCAAAAATTAGCATTTCTCACTAAATCTAAAATTAACTCCCATTTTCACATGGCCTCTCTAGAGTTGTATATTTAATTTGGATAGAATTTTAGTGTTTTAGACTAAGCTAGGTAGTCTATTGTTTTAGGTAGGTAAAATCGCCCGTGGCTAGTAATATACAAAAACAAAGTGTCTATTCACAGTCGACTGTGAATAGCTGTATTAGGGCTATTCACAGTCGTGACCGTTTTTGCTAGATTTAATGTTAAAAATACCATATGAGGCATGAAGATGTGTGGTTGAGCGGACATGGGGAGTGGCTGTCGTGCCGGAAGGTGCGCGTTCAAACCCTTACTATGCCATACTGATATGTTTCTTAGTGTATGCCTCTTAATCTTATTACCAAAATATTTTTTGGAAGGGTTACTTTTGTTAATTTTTTTTTAGTTTGTGGTGTAGGTAATTGTTGACACATCAGCAAAAGAAAAGACCTGTCCCGGATTTTTTCTAAGAGAAAAAACACAACAGTATGATGGATGGAAACTGAATTATAGCTAATGTAAAATCTGAACTCCCCCTCATCACACCCCGTCACAAAATTACTTCTCCCCCCCCCTCCCCCTACGAGTGTGACGTCATTTATGGACACCCCATAGCACTGCTCTCTTAATCTAAATCTATACCTCACTCACCAGTCACAATAAATGCTTTTATTATTTAAGATATTATTCACAGTCGTATTTAGCATGAAACGACAGCCGACTGTGAATAGCCGTATTGGGGCATTTCACAGTTAGCTGGGAATAGCCCCAATACGGCTATTCCCAACCGGCAGGGAATAGCCTTGGCCATACAAAAAAGTTACCTTATTGTCAAGGCTTTAATAGAAGTATATTGTGATATATTTGTGTCATATATTATAGACTAGCGTACCCGACCCCCGCG